TACCCAAACCATCCATGGCCTTCTTGAGAACTTCAGCGTCGTGATCAGCATTGAAGTTGGGATAGGGCTTAAGGGCAGGCTTTGGGACGCGTCCGTTTACATCGACTGTACGCAGCATATTCGGTTTTTGCAGAAAAGACCTGAAAAAAACAGTACTTTACTTTGTAAAATCCATGCGTGCTTATGATGACACAGAAAACCTCTATAGCATGCGATTTTACACTTTTCTGCAAACTAACATCCTAGTGTGCAGCGCTGGTTCAACGAATGTGCTCTGAGGAATGTTTTCTGACAGCCGATCCAAGAAGTTGTAAAAGTACAAACCAGTTTTTAATGAAACAATGTGGATTTTCAGATTCAAGAGTACAATTGTTATATGCGCCTTCCTACTAGCTATGGCTATTCAATCAAAAATTGTGAAAAATCGCCAACATCTTCTTCACAATCAGGGCATAGTATCGTCCTTTAGGGAACCAATGGCTTCTTGAGAAAATGGCACGGCTTCGTCTTTGTCAAAACCGGAATTCCATTTAGGAACACGCCTTAAGCTCGGTGCTATTTAGTAGACAAGATCACTTGGCACGAATTCCATGCATATATATGCGGGTGACGGGATGTCAGCAAAGGCTGGATGACCGTTCTGGTTTTTCAGTCTTCAGCGGCCAGCCCTACATGTATATCAGAATAACAGTAGTTGACCTATCTCATGAAATGTTGACAGAAATTCTAAGATAGGCTATCGACTAAAAAGGATTGCTTAGGGCGGTTGTAGCATTGGTTTTCGTGCAGCATACCACCAAGATATTTCAGTTACACCAGACTGCTACCATTTAAGAGAGCTTCTTATCAGCTGCCTGCAAAAACCACTCGCGGTCTAAAATGACTGTTTAAATAATATGAATTTTTCCACTTTTTTCGATGCCCCTGCAAAATCTAAATATATTCCACAGAAAATAGACACACTATTTTTACGTCTTTTATTCATTTGGTAGACTGCTGCATCTTCTACAAACACAAAACTTAAAAAGGGAGTATATTGGAGTTCTAAAAGGCATTTTCGATTCCCGGATAGCTTTGAACCCGACTTGCGATCGCGCTCGAGCTAAGGGTTTAAAAACCCCATGTTTTATTCATTCCATGTAAAGAAAGTCACTCATTTCTCGAACTTTTCAGGAAGGGGTCATATGGAACTCATGCAATTTCACAATGGATGTGGATCATATGGTGTAATTCATCAGTAAAATTGCTGAAAGGACAGATATGATGCTGTGCGAATGAATATTTCACAATCTTCACCAATTTTACGATTACAAACCTTTTATAAACTGAAAGATATCACTTTGTAGAGTAAACTATTTAAAGGCTGATTTTTTTATCAAATAAGTGCACGAAGGGATTCTTTTTTGCATATTCCCAGCGAAATATGTTTGCGTTTATGGAAACGTTGAAAAGCATTGGGAAATGTGCACACTAATTGAGTAGCCATTTTTTGCACCAAGTGTCTGGAATAAGGAGCATTCAAACATTTTCAGTAAGGACGTCTTCCATTCTGCGCTGCTAGAATACAAATTAATAGATAATGACCGAGTCCATAGGTTTACGTAAACCCGTACAACTAATAAAGGGACAGTTAGAGTCTCATTTTTTGTACTTCGATCGACATCCCGGTGCGACTGGAATATCCTGGGATTATACAGCACGATAATCAATATTAAAAACTTTATCTTAGGACTCCATTTTAATCGAAATCGCATTTCAAAATTTCGGTTAACATTTCATAAGATATAAGAAAGCACTGGTTTTCGTGCAGCAAACTCCCCAAATACTTCAGTTGCGCCACACTGCTGGCTTTTAAATGAGTTTCTTACCAGTCGCCTGCAAAAACCATACGCGGTCTACAATGACTGTTTAAATAGCATGAATTTTGTCACTTGTTTGCGATGCCCCTGCAAATTCAAATATGTATCACAGAAAATATGCACATTATCATTATATCTAGTACCCATTTGGTGGAAGATTACATCTTCTGCAAATACTATGCCTAAAAAAGAGTATATTGGAGTTCTAAAAGGTATTTTCAGTTCCTAAGTTACTTTGAACTCCGGCGTGAAATGTGTGCGTGAGATTGGACCGAGTTTGTCTGATGATCAAGGTGTCGATCTTTGTCAGGGGGTCGGTAAGTCGATGTTTGAGTCATACTCGACGCCGACAGTCAATCGGCAAGGCGGCTCATTGACGGGCGCCGCACAGAGTAGACCACGGCAAACTATTTTAATGGTGTTGTGATTCTTTCATTTTTCTGATCTTTTTCTATACATTTAACCAGACTGGCATTACCAACGACGATAAGGGAGACTAGAATGGCCATTTCTGGCTTATAAGCCCATCTGTACCACACTTTAAGGCTGGGTCTGACTGGCCAACGACGACTTATAAGCCAGAAAGGGTCATTCCAGTATCTCTTAACTTTGTCGGTAATGTTACTATGTCTACATTACGCGCCGCTGAGTGGTTGTTGGCTGGGCTCGAGAGAGAGAGACCCAAGACACAACTCGACAAGTGAGTTCTGTAACACGATCGGTGAGCATCCCTCTACCAGCAGGTATACAGTACATGTGCTAACTCATGAAATTTCAACCAGAATTTTGAAATGCGTTCTCGTTTCGAAAAGATAAATTAAGTAGCGTTGTAAAACTAATCATGATACAGCATAATCTATCATATATAAAAATGGAACGCTGGGGACCCATGGAGGAGTCGAACCCCTCGCAGCTGCGTCATGAACCCGCATAATATGAGAGAAACAATTGCCTGGGCCTTTAGCTTTTAGCTATGTCGGTAATGCGGTATAATACCTTTGTCGTATATACATATTCTTATATATATACATATGAAGAAAATAGAAGGCTCTTCGGTGAAAATCGAGTTTTACTCGAGTAAAACTCGATTTTTTCCGAAGAACCTTCTATCTTTATCATATTTTCTCTGAATGCACACTACCTCAGCTATTCAATATATATATATATGTACGGCAATGACTTCAACATACTCCCGAGGTGTTCTGCGTTGTATGTCACATGAGCCCCAGATGTGAATGTTAAGCGAATAGATTCGTAGTATATTTCGAAACTGACCCCAAAATGTCGTGTCGAGAGCACATTTCTCCATTCCGTTCCCTGAACGAACTGCGAAACTAGTAATCTAGCTAATATATATATGTATATACATTCTGAATGCTACATGTACAAACTGCTCCTTGGACCGAAAATCGAGGTAAAACTAAACAGATGCCCGTCCGCTGAATCGAAAAATAAATCTGTTGAGCAGTCTTAAGTAACTGAACAGAACTAGGCCAGACCAAAGTCGATCGTCCCGGCATCAGCAAAGCTCTAATTAGAAGCTTCACGCAAAAATCTTCTGTACTTGCCATCTTGTTGATTTTAATTTGACAAGGCCCTACCAGCACACCTGCATCAGGAGCTGACAAGAGAAACGGCTTCCCGGGATTCCGTATGCAAAAGTGGAGTAGTGTTGTATGCATGGCAGGCAAGAGGAAATGAACTAAAGTCGGGAGGCTCACCTTCCAGCAAACCGCCTTGTGTTCGATCCGAGTGAGATGTGACGACCGGCCCGCGAAGACCCGCATTAGAAGACCTGGATTCTGGCACCGCCCTCCTACACACCGCACGCGTGAGTTAGCGCGCTTGCTCCTGTGT